CCACTAAAAACATTGCAAACAAGTTATATGCACTAAAAGCTAATCCTGATAAAATTATAGAGGGCAATAATTGTACTCTCCCTAAATAATGAAGGTGACAAACATAATTCAACGTGTATATAATTACATGATCACTTTTTATCAATCCAATACATATAGCCTGCAACTCACATAAGATGAAATTGATAATACAATACCCAAATTGATACATATCCTTTTCACACCAACACTAACTTAAGAATCAATTATAGATTCAATTACACATACTCAGAACAAAAGAGAGATTAAGGATCAAAAGAAGCAAGAGTGGAGGATTGTTTTGAAGTTGGATGATATTCCTCATTCAAGAAGACCCAATCCTCTATTCCATCCCCAGATCTTGTTGGCATCAAAATGATTAATCTATGTTGGCACTCCAATTGTACAAACCCATGTTGGCTTGCCGCATCCGAAGTTTCTTTCATATAAACCATACCTAACCCAGCTGCTAAAGAGATAAAAAGGAACACATTTCTCAATCACCAAAGACAACTTTTGTAGTACTGATTCAAGGGTTTCAAAAAGTTCTTGCCCTTCTCCTTAAGACTGACTGACATAATCTCCATCAACCATTTTTATGGTTTTTTTTTTCACTGTTTCTGCCACATCTTCACTACGACAAAAAAAGGCTTATTAGAGCGCCTATATCCAATTTATTATAATTCATCACAAAAAAGGTTTAGATTAATTAATATTAGTTTTATAGATTTATTATAATTTAATGTTTAATTAAATTATTATTTAAAATACCATTTTAATTGCTGTTTCTTTTTTAATTAATTTATCATTAATATATTAATTATTCAATAAAAATTAATATTATAATATTAAATATTAATAATTAATTTTGTAAAACAGCTCATATGGAATGCCAGAGTTTCCGGAGCGCTTCCATGCAGAAGCACTCCGGAACCTTAAAAAAGATTTTTTTTTTTTGGGGATAAAAAACGTGCTATGTTGATTTTCTACAAAAGCCCAAAATGGTTTGACACATGTTCTATGTGAACAAATACTTTGACATTAGGGTGGCAATGGAAAATAATTCTCCCTTCAAGATATTTAACTGCTGGATAAGAAGAGGTTGTCATATATCCTCTTTTGTTGCAGAAGGCTATTTCTTTATCAATTCCTGGGTTTTTCAATTTGTGGAATCAGCTCTTTTGTTTGGAATGATAGGGGAAATCCCATTATGTAGTTGCACAGCTACATATGGGATAATTAGATTTTAGAGATGGTCTATTGTGAACTGATTTTTTTAGCAGCCTACGTCAGTGGCTGCAAATTTGTACTATGTTCAACGCTTTCAAAGTCCATGAGTCTTTTTCTTGCCTCAATTTCAAACCATTCTCAGACCCTAATTATCTTATTGTTCATACTGTTTTTAATTGTTTGCATTTTTTTACTTTATGCCTTAATATCTAATAACCTCTATACGTTTTCTTCTCTATATGCTATTATTCATGCTTGGTAATGCTTGTGTGCGTGCTTGTGTCGGCAAAAATATAGTGTCTTAATTTTGTTTAAAATATTTATCTTTTGGAATAGGTTAAGTTTCCAATTCTATTAAGTAGGTGATATTCAGCCTTATGGTACAAGCCAGATACAATGTTTTCCACTCCCAAGGCTTATGTAAAGATAGATTTCAATCCATATGCTGAAGTTTTGACTGAAGTTTTGACTGATATTTTCACTCGATTATTGGTGGACTACTTGAATGAATATGGGTGGTTGGTTTCTTAAACAACTTGATAGACCTTTTACTTTTTTGCTTGAATTGTTATTCCTAGATGCTAACTATAAATGGAAGAAGTTCTCATTGGAGCTCATTTTTTCAGCTTACTATGCTCAAGTTGGTTTGTATACTTTGCATTACGGCATAAGCCACATGGATTGTGATTTTCAGCTATTATTGTTCAATGTTAATTTTGTTTGTAATATAGAAATTTATTTATATGATGAGCAAAATAAAGCCCAATAACCCAAGCTCACTTAAAGGTCCCCACTTTCAAGTCTTGATTTACATCTACACAGTATATTAAATGGCATTATAAATATCAGTGGTTGAACTTTACAACACAAGTAGCAGTGGTATTCATATAGATGATTAGTTTCTTTTGTATTAAAAAAAACGTAGTATTATATATTATAAAATCTTTTTCAAGGGATTAAACATCATGCACTTTAATTTAGCTTTATTTTCTTTAAAAAAAAAATTTGATCTATCTAAGTTGTTGCTACTATATATATTGAGTTGATATAAATTTGCTTTAGTTGGACTTTGCTTTCCTATTTTGAATGAGAAAAGATCTTGTGCTTGCCCTCAAGATGTTTGACAAAATGCTTAAGAGGGTTTAAAATTACAACTTATAACAAGTAGTTATATATGATCTGTTGATTACGAAGAAAATAACTTCTTTAACTTGGCTGTAGAATCAACCATGTGGGGCCTTGAAGAAATCAAGAAAGAGAATGTTGATCTTGTACGTTTTTGTTTAATAATACAGAAATCAGATTCTTGGTTTCTTCTATTCGATTCTCCTCCTCTACAAACATATATATATATGACACTTGGAGGAACACATGCCAATGGAAGAAGTATTTCGTGAACTGAATTGTACAAAAGAGGGTCTCACAAATGAATGGTGAGATGATATTGGATAAGTCTCACATAAAATGAAATTGATCCAAAACACTCGAGGAAGCTCCCAAAGAAAGTAACGCACTACTGCAAGTACTTGGCAACTTATTTCATAGGACCCTATCTTTTAAATATATGCAAATTGTTTTTTGGATTAATGTTCATGCTTTATAATTATTTGATATTAATGTAGTTTAGAAGTTAGTTATTGGATGATCTCTTTCTTGATTGATCTCTTGGTTTGTTTGGATTATCATTTTTTTTTTCTCATCATTACCTTATGTTGCACCAAGACAGGTTTATAGCATGCTGATGTAGATTCGTTATAACTTTAAATGGTTCAGATTTATGCCGTTGTTGCATCTACTATGATACATTGGTTTTGTAGCCATTTTTAGTATATATATGCGCATCAAATGTTATTGTTCTATATGTTGAAAAATGAATTTTTTTTTTTGGTGTTGGAGGACAAACCAATCTTTTGTTTTTAAAGCATTATATGGTTGTTTCACCCCAGCTAGTAGGTGTTCTCAATTATTCATCTACAGATTTATGTTTTTTATAGCATTATATTATTTTTGTTGTTCCCTACTCTTTTTGAGTTAATGTTATCTAAACTTTTGCTTTGTATATTTTTTTTGGGTTGGCATTATTGTAAAAGACAATTTTCTTTTCATTTTAGATGATATTTTTGTTCTTGTAGTGTAATATTTAGAAAATTAGATTACAAATTTTTGCATTGATTTTGTGGTTAGAATAGTTGATTGAGACTGTAGTTGCCAAACTTATAAAAATATTGTTTTTTAATTTTAAATGAAAGTATACTTTTTTTTACCATTTTATGATATCCATTTTAGAATATTGTACATAAATTTAAGTTTCTGTTGCAGCATGTAGCATTGTATATATATATATATATATATATATATATATAAAATTGGAGGCTATTAAAGTCCTTTTATGTATAAGTGCTCTAATTTGTAAATCTATCAAAGTGCTTTAGGTATGGTAGCGCTTCTTTTGAAAGCACTCACATAAGCCTTTTCAAAGTGTTCTCATAGGGAGATGCTTATGGGAGCATTTTCAGAAAAGTACTTCCATAAATCACTCATGTGAGAGTGCTTTTAAAAGCACTCCCTCATATATGGGAGCATTGAGTATAGGAGTGCTTTTGAAGTGCTCTTGTAAGTAAAATAAAAAAGAAAAAAAAATGCTTTGAAATGTTTTTATTTTTTATTTTTTGATGTAGTGCTTGTAGATCCGCCTTTATTTCTTTGTCACCTTTAAGCAATTAAGGGAGAAATGGCCAGAACAAGGAGATTACCAATATTTTGTCAATGCAAAAGTTCAAATTAAGAAAGCGATTAAAAACATCTATAAATGCATAAATAATTAAGTGAAGCGTGTTCTTAGCACCTAAAGAATTCTCCAGCAATGGCCATAGCATCCGGCCGGCCACGTATGTTCACAGCATGTATCATGAATGGACTACTTTGATGAGTTGTCTTTGTGGTTCTTGCAACTTCCAAGGCGGATTTCCATATCAAAGTTGTCGCAGCTTCAAACCTATTGGGCTTAAAGCTGCATCCCTTGAAATCCTTTTCTTTTAGTCTCCACAAGCTATCTTCACTAAACAAGAATCTCTTCGTTGTGATATTCTTCCCTCCTATCATGTGATTGATGTTAATCTCTATGCCTTTGGGTGGGAAAAGCGATGAAGCTTGCATGTTAAAAGGCGAAGAAGAAACCACTTCACTTGTATCTCCCATTGCCTTGCCATCACATACCTTGTGTCAGATGATGCACACGCCATTAGCTATTCTTCCACAACCAAACTCATTAACCAGAACAGCCATTCCTTGAAAATCTTCACCATCATCTTCTAGTTTATGTTTACAGGGATCTAATGGAAGAAACCCTTTTATCTCTTTGAGTCGTTGGTTGGCATTATTCTTGAGAAACTGAGAGCTTTGAGGGAACTTTGGCTTCAACGTAAAGGACACCTCCATCGTTGCAATCAACATAGAGATTGCTTTTGTTTCCTTTGATTCTTCCAGAGAATGGATAGTAGAGAGTGAGAATTTCTGATAACTAAGTCTTTAATTGTCGAGTCATTTTGGGAAAATCATGATCATCAGAAGTAGGGTAGAAAAGGACAACTTGAATGTGAACAGAAGAAGGGGTAGCTAAGTCGTGGAGAAGAGAAACCCTGAAGTGTTTGAGGTGATTTAGAGTAGGAGATAATGGCTTTATGGTCATTTTGAATGCAATCTCAACCTTAGCTTCTGCCATTTCTCGGATGCAGTAGAAGATTTTTGTGAAAATGGGTTAAGGTTTGGTTGATTGTTTTAGGAGAGAATGAGGAGGTTTAAATGATACAGAAAAATTTGAAAGCTTGGGTGCGTATGATTTGTGAGGGCATGCATTCATGTTTATTGACATAAATAAATGAAGAGTTGGATCAGCGTCAAATAAAAAAAGAAATTGGCCATCCACCTACTACTTTCAGTTCTGCATAATCTGATTTGCAGGTCAAAAGCATTTATTAATTAATTTCCTAATTAAGTTAACAAGCATTTGAATACAATCTGTAATTAACCTAAATTTTTAAATAAATTAAGTTTTCTTCTAATTAATATTTTATTTAAATTAATTTTATAACAAGTAAAAAATAATAATTTAAATGGAACTGATAGTAATAACTTTTTTGAAGGTCCGAGGTTCGAATTCTATGAAGTAAAAAGTTTAGTTTTATTTTATTTTTAATTATAAAACAATTTTGTGTCGATTCTTGTAATTTTTTCATGGGCTATTGTTTGTAAATTTTCCAATTCTCCTTTGAATAAGATATTTCTTATCCTCCCCTGTATTCGAAGCGAAAGCTGCGAAGAATCGAGAGGGAGAGAGTCCGAATCCTTCCTTCCTTCTCATCGCCGGTCAGCATCTTCAGACACCGCCGTTCACTTTCCTCTTCACCACCGTCGCTCGTTCCTTCCCCTTCTCTCTATCCACGTCACTGGCTGCTGTGGGGGTTGAGTCACCGAAAACTCATCCCCTGTCGTCCTCCTCTGCTCCTTTCTTGTTTGGTGTTGGCGAGTATATGCGCGTCTTCAACTTCTCTTCCTCCTCAATTCTAGTTGTTACACGTGCATATGGTAAGCTGCTTGTTTCTTTTCTCTTTTGTTTGAAGATCTGTCATTTTCTCTTGTCTCTTGCTGCCGTCGATTTTTACTCATCATGGAGTGAAGTGTGCTTATTCTTTATCTCTCCTTCATCCTCAGTTGATGAAAGTTCCGTGTGTGTGGGGGGGGGTAGTTCGACTATTGCATTTGTTAGCTGAAATTTTGGTCTGTTTCTGGTTCGTGTAGGAGCTCGAAACTTTATTTTTTTCCTTTTCTTCTTTGATGCAGAGCATGTATTTGTTCATAGATGTTGCCACTAAATTTCGTTTGGGGGTGAATTGTTGGGTTTTTCTCTTCCTTTTTGGGTTCTATACCAGCACCAAGTGATTTTTCATAAATCATTCCTCTAGTTGAGTTATAACATTCTAATTTCTTATTGTTGCTGTCATAAAATTTTAGAAGAATTAAGGTTTAGTTTTAATCAATATTAGATGTTGCGCTATTGTGGGAACTAAATTAAATTTGGTTAATGAAAGTAAAAGCTTGAGAGTTGTTGGAATTTTTTGGTTATTCATCTCACAAATTTTGTTAATGATAGATGCATACTCTCAAGGTATTTATAAAAAAAAGAAATATATGAGAGAGAAGAATTTGGTGAATTATGAGTTGTGAAAGCTTTTATATTATAGCTTGGAAGAGTAGCTGTAATTATAGTTCAAGTTGTTAATTGAAAATTTTAAAATGGGTTGTTAAAGTGGGAGAAAGGATTATATAAGATGCTTGTTTCATATTTCTTTTAATCTAGAGGAAGCTTGAGAACGATAGATATGATTTCTAATGATTTATAAATGAGTATGGATCATAAGGGACAAATGATTTACTTAACTTAAGTGTATTTGAAATATAATTGGTTAAAGTATTATCTTTAATATTGTTTGGAATGAATTTAAATGTTCATTAAGTGATTGAAAAATTTCTTGATAAATGACTTTTAGAACTACGATTTCTTCGTCAAGAAACTTAGAACACCATTAGAATTAAAGTGAAAGATTAAAAGAACCACGCTTTAGAATTTTGGGAAATTATAAGGTAAGTGAATATTGTCCCAATTGATTTTTTAATAAAGATTTTCTTTACTACAATAGTACATTTTTATGCAAAATTATTTTAGTAACAACGATGTGGTTATTGAATAGTTTGTTTATTAAACTAACTTATTTTTGAAATTACTCTTAACAGTTTTGAAATTTTAATTAATTAATAAATATAAGTTTGGACTTTGATTATGAGATTTCATTCTGTCGAACATTGAATTGATATAAAGAATGATTCATGTGAGTTTGACTTTAGAAATGAAAATTTTTATTATGAAAGTAATGATTTTCTCGCATGTTTGGAAATGAATTTGAAGAGGACTTTATACAGAACTCTGGTTGCTAACGGTAGTTTCGTTAGCCCTTGACGCGTCATAGTATACCTAACTAGTAGGGTGTTTATAGGAGGTGCTAGCCCCGTGCGATGGCCAACGTACATGGAACGGAGGGATGGTTATTCGTGAGCATTGTACTCACATTTGATTTCGTGGCTTCAAGCCACGTTTAGTTAGCATTATCCTCGTGGACTGTGTGTCCACATTTCTTTCATGGCTTCGGCTGCGTTTAGTTACTTACTCTCGTGGACTGTGTGTCCACGTTTGTTTCGTGGCATAAGTCGCGTTTGGCTATTTACCCTTGTGGACTATGTGTTCACGTTTGTTACTTGTTCTGATAAGTCCTTATAATTATGAGTTTTTAATTATTTGATGGATCTATTTTCATTGATTTTGATTAATGATATATTTATAATTATTTAATGTAATTATTTACTTTATTAAAATTACATGATAATGACGTTTGATATGATATTGTAATGAATCAAGAATTTATTTAAAGTTACATAAAGTCCTTTTATGACCAAGTTTATTAAATATTTGTTTGCGAAAATTGTTATTTCTAGCACACATAATTATGTTAAACTTTCTTTTTATACATATTTAATTATTTATTATTAGGATGCTATTCACTAAAAATTTATTTTGATCTCAGATTTATTATTTGATACTGATCTTATTTCTGACCTCTAAGGGACATACAGCTATTTTGGGTGAAATTTTGCCTAGCATTATCTCCCTTTTGATGTAAATATTTAAACTCACGTATTTTATTTTGAAAAGTAAGGTTAGGTGCTCCACATAACCTATAACTATATTTCTATTTTGATGTATGTTGTCTGCTGGTTGGAAGGAGCGAAACTCTTAATTGAAACTATATTTTATGTAAAATATTGTGTTGTAGGATTTTTGAGAGATTTTATTTACAGTGGAGGTTTTGTTAAAATTTTCATGAAAATATTCAATCTTTTATTAAGAATAATTTTTTTTTATATGTTACAATTTTGGCACAAATTCATTTACATTTTAAAATGAAAAGATTTTTTAATTTAGGGCTTAAGGGATGTGTGATAAGGTTCACATCTCGTGCTGGTCACCTATTTTTGAGACGTGACACAATTTCAACCTCAGCTTCTGCCATTTCTCAGACAATGCATAAAAGATTTTTAGACATACAAGAAAAGAAAAGAATGTTTATCTATAAGTTCAAGAAGTCTGAGGTTTGGCTGATTTTATTGGGTGAGACTAGGGAGCCTTCAAATATATACAGAAAATTTAAGCTGCTGTTGTGGTGGGAGGGCATGTGTGTACAAAACGTGATGATGACAATAATTATTAATTAAAATGTTGCACTTAATTCTTAAACTGCTGCGAAGTTGGGAAATTTCAAACAAATAATATATAAGTCATGATTTGCCAATGCCAAGGCGAAAAGCGTTCGATTTTGCAAATGCATATATAAGTCATACAATGTAGAGTTGAAGGTTAGTTTTATCTTACAATTATTTGCTCAGAAATATCTGGTATTCTAAATTCCAGTTTAGTCTAATGTCAACCTTAATCATTAAAAAACGTAGAATTTTGTTCCTCATGTTAAGTTGGATAATCTTGACCGTTAAGTGGTGTATGCTAGATTTGGTTATGTGGTGTGCTGTTGCTTGACCATTTTTTGGCAACATGTCATGTCATGAAGGCTTCGGACAATGGAGGGCAATGGATCGGATCAAGAAGAAGAGCAGGCTTGCTGGCAGGGAAGATGAAGAGGTGATTATGATGATTACGATGAGGTGAGAAGGAAAGTAAGAAAAAGTTAGAAGGTTTTTCACCAAAAAAAAAAAAAAGTTTGAAGGCTGAAAAAGTTTTTTTGTTTTTTGTTTTGGGTGAAAAACCTTCTTAAAAAAAAAGTTTGAAGGCTGAAAAAGTGTTTTTGGTTTTTTGTTTTAAGTCACCATGATATTGTGCCTGGTAAGAGGGACAAGTAATCCAAGAGAGAAGTGGAGATCTTAGATGGCTAAGGAAAGAAAGAATGAAATGAAATAAAAATTGGGTGGAAAATAATATATAAGACTTACATATTTTTACCTTTAATTTTTCTCTTCAAATATGGGGAGATTTTTTTAAAAAAAACTCAATTTTAAAATTTACACATGAATCTTTTCATTTCTTGCTTGCATTCCTCCATTTTTATCTTAATTTTCTCTCCATTTTAAAATTTACATTATTATATATTTAATAATTTAAGAAATAAAAATTAAAATTGGACAAAATAATTTTTTTGCTATCATCACATAAAATTATTTATAATTATATTTTTATTCAATCAATAATATTAATAAAAAGTATATAAATAATAAGTTAAAATATTAAATTTTATTATATATAAATATTTTTTTTGCAAATAATAAGGTTATTACTGTCAACATAAAATTAATAATTTTTTTCACTTCTCATTTTCTCTCATTCAGCCAAGCATAAGGAGAGTAAATTACAAGCTTGTTTGGTTCTGTTTTCAATTTTTATGTTCTCAAAACAATTTTGTAGAATAGTTTATCAAAACAAGTTTTGGAAACAAAAAATAAAAAAAGTCTATTTGAATCATTATTTGGAAAAGCATATCTAAATTGGTGAAATAAAGGGTGAAAAAATAATTTATTTTATTGACAAACATTTAAAAGATATTCTGAATTTTTAGTTCTACAGAACAACTTTTAATTTTTTTTGTTTTTCAAAATAGATAATAGAAAACACATTTCCAAACAAGTTGTTAGACATGATTTTCATTTTTTTATTTTCCAGAAGAAAATATTGTTCTGAAAATATGTTGCCAAATAGGCTTACATTCCTCCATTTTTTCTCTTTTTCTCTGTTTTCTCTTCTTGTATTTTCTCTTCTCTCTATTTTTTTCCAATGAGCCAAGCACAACATAAAAACATGCAATAGAAGCAAAAACAACACGGTCCAAACAAAAAAAGCAAAAACCAAAAAAAAAAAAAAAGCCGACCCCCACAAAATTAAATGGACGTTTCTTTTTTTTTTTTTATCGATATGAGCAAAATTGTTGCGTTTTTAACCATCATACTAAATTAAACGTTTAGCAAATTAGATGTCCTCTGAACGAATAGTAGAAAAGCAAGAATAACATTTAACCCTATAATGTAATAACTATAATGAGTAAAGTCGTGTGTAATCTTGTGAATTTTTTGTACTCACAATCTAGTTGAGCATTAATTTAACACGTTGATTTAATTTGAATTAATCACAAGTAGCGATGATTTGAGGCTAATGGGCAAATTACACCTTGAATGATTTTGGAAAAAAGACAATTAAAGACCCTTTAAGAACATTAATCTCGATTAAGTATCATGACATTTTTAAATTTCAGTTGAGGATCATGGTCTTTTTATACCCTGAATAATTTTGGAAAAATGACAATTAAACACTCTCTAAGAATATTAATCTAAATTAAAGATCATAACATTTTAAAATTCTAGTTAAGGACCATGATTCTTAATTACGATAAAAAAATATAATTTGTGAGGTGAGATTTACTAACGCCACTTAAAGATTCACCAACTCAACTTGAAAAAATTGTTAATGTATATTATGAAAATATAAAAGTCCACTTAGGAATCAATTGTTTAACAAAAAGCTCATTTAAAAATTTACTAACTCAACCTAAAAAAAGTTCTAATATATACTATGAAAGCATGAAACTCCACTTGAAAATTAATTATTTAACAAATTTTTAATTGTTTAACAAAAAGTATCACTTGAAAATTCACTAACCAGACTTGAAAATTTTTTTAATGTGCATTGTGAAAAAAATAAAACCCCACTTGAGAATCGATTTAACAAAAAGTGACTTGTCCAAATTGGAATTTTTTTTATTAAACAATTAATTTTTGAGTGGGATTTCATGATTTCATAATATACATTAGAAAATTTTTCAAGTTGGGTTAATGAATTTTTAAGTGGCGCTTTTTGTTAAATAATCAATTTTTAAATGGGGTTTCATATTTTCATAATATATGTTAGCAATTTTCTTAAGTCAGGTTAGTAAATCCCCAAGTGACTTAATGAATCCCACCTCACAAACTATATTTTTTTATCCAGTTAAGGATCATGGGATTTCAAAATGTTATGGTTCTTAATTGAGATTAATATTTTTAGAGGGTCCTTAATTATCATTTTCCCTTGAATTTTTGGTTTAGTAGCACTATAGACCTTGAATTCTTTTATTATACAGATTGTTCCTTTAATTTTTGAAAACAATACAATTTTGGCCTTTGACGATAACAAAAATTAATTTTAATCGTTAGTTAATCAAAAAATAATAGAAAAAGACATCAAAAATTATAGAAAAAGTTAACTTTGATTGTTATTATTGTAATTTTTTGTCCTTTTTTTTTGTAATTTGAAGTTCTTTTTGATCATTTTTTAAATCAATTAACTATTAAAGTTAACTTTTGTTAATGCATGGTAGGGTTAGATTATATTATTTTCAAAAGTTGAGAGAATAATATAAATAAGTTTAGGATCCATGGTGCTACTAAACAAGGTTTAGAGGGTAATTTGCTCATTTACTCATAATTTAAAAAAAAAATTGGCTTACCTTCTTTTAGTTCTATGTAATATATATATTATCATTTTTCATTGAGAGGCTATCTTTTTTATTTGAAGTGAAGAAGTTATTGACCAATCTTCTTTTAATGTAAAAATTTAATTTATGAATTTGTACTTTGTAAATCTTATTCTAGGCATTCCATGTAAGCTATATTTAGGACCCCTATATGTATATTATGCATGATTTGTCTGTTGGAATGAGCATAGCTCCTTGTTGATGCTATTTTGTACCAAGAAATGTTGTTGTGAGATCTTATTTTCAAGAGACACTATATCAAAATTAAAATATTAAATCTTTTGTTCTCATGATTCGTATTGAAAATGGTTCAATTTGTTGTTAGATATTTTCATGCTTTAGAAATTAGAGTTTCTTAAGTTACAACTTTGAGGATCTAGCTAGTTTTTGTTCCTATATTTTATATCGGTCATGTTTTATTTTTGAGGTGTGACATTAACTTTGCTTGTTAATCCCTAATCATTAAATCAAATGCTCTCTAATTAAGAAGGTGTAATTATATATGTATGGGAGCGTGCATTTTAAACAAAATCTCAAAACATACATGCTAAAACAAATTACATGCATTAATAATATTCGCTTCATAACAACTAGTATTGATTCTAGTAGACCTATGGTCATGTAAATTGGATTTGTATCCGTATAAATACAGAAGAAACTTTAAAAAAGAATTATATATTTTCATTCAGACTCAATAATTCTTTAATTTAACCTGTTAATACCCCACACACACACACTAGTTACTACATAAAATTTTTTATCCATAACAACTTATAAATAAAATCCTTTTAATCTTTTATTTCAAAGAAAAATATCTTTAAAAACTGAAAAAAAATTTAGTATCACTTTCTTCCAGGACATCTTGTTTAATTTGTGAGTTAATTGTGTGGACCCAAAAATGGTTATTAGGTTGGCCTACCAAGTGTCACTTGTGGGTTCAAAGTTCAAACAAGTTAATAGAGACATTTTGCAGTTATCATGTTTTCCATTTCATTTAACTACAAAAAATCAATAAAATCGAAGACTTCTGATATAACTTTTGATATTATATATATGGATACAAAACATAAGCTAAATAATATATAAAGGAGACAAAAAAACATATAATTACTTGATCACTTTTTATCGATAATTCAATACATAACCAACAACTCACATATAAAATGAAGCTCAGCTAACAATACCCGAATTAATAAATATACTACTCCACACGCCGACACCAACTTAATTAATTAGCAAATACTCATTCGATCCTATATTAATAATGTATGTCATTAATCGTCATTACAAATTTCTAATTCTTCATTAAGTGTTGGTGAGAGATTAAGGATCGAAAGAAGCATATTGAAGAAGTAGAGGATTATTTTGGAATTGGAGCATATGATCGTCATTCAAATTGACCCAAGCCTCTATTCCTGATCCATCCCGATAACTTGTTGGCATCAAAATGATCACATTTCTTGCAGGCACTCCAATAGTACAAACCCATGTTGGCTTTCCCCATCCGAAGTTTGTTTCATAGAAGCCAAGCCTCACCCAGCTACTGAAGATATAACAAGGAACACCTTTCTCTGTCACTAGAAACAACATTTGTAACATTGATTCAAGCATTTCATTAAGTTCTTCACCTTCTCATTGAAACTTACTCACATAATTCCCATCAACCATTTTGATGGTTTTCCTCACTTCTTCTGCCAAATCTTGTAGCCCCACCTTCATTTCTTTGTCAACCTCAAGCAATGGGGAAATGGCAGGTACAAAGAGATTACCTGTATGTCAATACAAAAGATCAAATTAAGAAAGCAACTAAAAACACTTATAAAGACATAAATAATTGTGTTATCGTCACCTAAAGAATTCTCCGGCAATGGCGACAGCATTCGGCCACGTATGTTCACAGCATGTAAGATGAATGAACTATTTTGGTGAGTTGTCTCTGTGGTTCTTGCAGCTTCTAAAGCGGATTTCCAAATCAAAGTTGTCACAGCTTCAACCCTAGTGGGCTTAAAGCTAAATCCTCTTGAAATTTCTTCCTTTAGCCTACACAAGCTATCCTCACTGAACAAGAATCTCTTCGTTGTAATACTCTTCTCACCTATCATGGCATTGATGTCAATCTCTATGCCTTTGGATGGAAAAAGAACAGAAGCTTCCATATTAAGAGGCAAAGAAGAAGAAGCCACGTCACTTGCATGATCTGTCATTGCCTTTTGAGACCAAGCTTGGAGGAATGAAGCTACTGTTGTTCCGTCACAAAGCTTGTGTGAGATGCAAACACCAATAGCTATACCTCCACAACCAAATTCACTGACCTGAACAGCCATTACGCGGCGATCTTCTTCATCATCGTCATGTTTAGGTGTATAGGGATCTAATGGAAGAAACCCTTTTACCTCTTTGAGTTGTTGGTTCGTATTATACTCGAGAAAATCTGAGAGCTTTGAGGGAAGTCTTGCTTCAAGGTAAAGTACACCTTCGTCATTGCAATCAACATAGAGATTTCCTTTGTTTCCTTTGATTCTTCCAGAGAATGGATAGTAGAGAGTGAGAACTTCTGGTAAAGAAGTCTTCAACTTTTGTGACATTTTGGGAAAATCATGATCATCATCAGCAGAGTAGAACAGAACCATTGGAATGTAAACAGAAGGAGGAGGGGCTAACTCATCAAGAAGAGAAAATTTGAAGTGTTTGAGGTGATTTGGTGTTGGAGAAAATGGCTTTATGGTGATTTTGGATACAATCTCAACCTTAGCTTCCGCCATTTCTCAGACACTGTATAGAAGATTTTTGTGAAAATGAAACAAAAATCAGCTAAGAGCAACTGCAAGACGGTCAAGGTTTGGTTGTTTTGGGAGAGAATCAAGAGAGCTTGAAATAATACAAAAAAGTTTGAAAGATTGGTGTGTTGTGACTTGTGGGAGCTTGCATTTATTTATTTCGACATATATATATATATATATATTTTTTGATCGAAATTCAACATAAATATATCAAGTGTTGGATCAGTGTCAAATAAAAAAGATTATAAAATATATTTAATAAATTTTATTAATATATATAATTTTGTCAAAAAAGTTTCTTATAAATTAAGACAGACTAATATCACTTTAGCATTAATTGTGTCATTTTTATAACTTAAAATTTATATAATTAGATTATACTTTTTAAACAACTTTTGTACTATAGAATTTTTATAAATATTATTAAAAATATAGATATTTTATTAAATACTTTTTTGGCCAAAAGTAGTGAATAGAATTTTGTATAAATTTCATAATTATTTTTGTTTTGGAAAAATTAATTATTCATTGATAATTTTAATTTTAAAGAAATAACATATATAATGAATTAAATTATAATGGCTTAATTTAAACAAAATAAATTATAAATATATAAGATAAAAAAATTATAACCATTTATGAATTAATAAGTGTTGGATATGTTACACCTACTTTTTTTTAGCCTGGCACACTTCAAGTCTCACCTACTTTTTACGGAAAAGTAGTCTAATTTAATATTTGGGAAGGGGTTCTCTCCTTTTATTTTTCTTTCCACTTCTTTTCATTTTCTTCTCGTTATTGTTGGATCAAAACTTCTCAAAGGTTTAAATTTAATTTTGATAAATTTATTATTATAATTTTACATAAAATATTATAGTCTTAAATTATTTAGATTACAATTTAATAGTTTAAATTTATTTATATATTTTTATATAAAATTGAAATAATAATTTGATCAAATATAAATTCAGAACTATTGAAATTTTGATCCAATAGTGATGACAGAGAAAAGGAGGGAACAAAGAGAAAAGAAAAGGAGACACATCTCTTCCCATTTAATTGGCCTCCTAAACTGTTGCTGTAAGCATTCGGATACAATCCCAATCTCAGCTTCTACTATTTCTGAGACAACACATAAAAGATTTTGTAAACAATAAGAGAAAAGAATGTTTATGTATAAGTTCAAGAAGTCTGAGTTTTGGCTAATGTTCTTTGGGAGAGACTAGGGAGCCTTCAAATACAGAAAATTTAAGCTTTAACTTGTTGGTGCCAGAGCTCTGCGTGAACAAAACGGCATGATGTGATTATTTATTACTTAAAATGTTGCACTTAATTATTACATTGATGCGAAGTTATTGGGAAATTTTAGACGAATAATAAGTCATGATTTATCAATGACGCGTTAAAATATTTAAACATAAAATTTTGCAAATATACAAGCCATATTTCCTCTGTCTCTATTTATTCATCCTGATTTGAATTTTTATTTCATTCTTAAATATATTTTCTATTCTAAATTTTAAGATATAATTATTACATGTTTCTAATAATATTTCTATTCGATGGAGGGCATTGAATAGAGGGCAAAATTACAAAGAAAAAAAATTACATGCTATTCATGGATTTTTCTTTCTCTCTCTCTTTTTTTTTAAGGACAAGTAAATAGGAATAAAGGAAGTAAATAACTAATTAGCAAGGTTACAATTGGATAAAACTTTACCTTAACACAAAGTCTAGTCTTTAGATGGGATTGGATTAGATAACTCGTGGTCATGTTTGGTCTAAAAAAAATCTGGAGGTCAAGCTAGACCAGATTTAGGTCCATATAGATGGGGCAACAGATTTAAACAATCTAGTACCACAATTCAATTTAATAAACTTAATTAAGATAATAAAAATACTTATAATGATATAAAACTTATTATAAAACATCAAAACCTAATCACAACATTTTTATTTCAAAATCATGATAGTTGATATATTGCAGTGACGGTCACTAGAACGTGGACTTTGAAATTAATTGGGCATAACACTACTAAAAAAATTAATATTAGTGATAGATAATTAGTGATAAATTGATTTTCATCACTAATTATAGTAATTTGTGACTAATTAGTGACATATGATGGTACCTGTTACTATTCCTATTTAAAGTTTATATTTTTGTGACAGATATGAGTCCGTTACTAATTATATGTCACTAAATTGTAACAGATGCCAAAAATCATCATAATTTTATAAAACTTTCACAAAGCTAATAATAGATAGGTAATAACGGATAGATATCTGTTATTAAATTTGAAATTATAATAAAATTGAATTATTTATGTTAAAATAAAATATATAAATAATGTAATTGGAGTGTTAAAATAAAAATAGATAATAAAAAATTGATGTTAAAATAGTTTATTGATGATTGAGATAATTTTGCTTTTAAATGTTTTAAATATTTAAAAACAATTATGATTATTTTTTCAATGCATTTGAATTGGTAAAATATTAGCTTAACTTTACTAATATATCTATTTTTACATTGACATAAGCGTATTAAGTATGAATAGTTCGAGAAAATATTAAATATATGAATTAATTAAGTTGATAATTATGTGAATTTAAAAATAAAAATAATCATGTGGATTAAAAAAGAATTGTTTCCTTTATGGTTTTGACTTTGTTTTGACAATTTTTTTAGGTAATGCTTTATTAAAGATTAAAATTTCCATCAGTACATATTTTTTACTTCTTTATTTAAAATTTATTATAATTTGTGTATTTGTGTATATATATTATAATTATAATTTGCAAAATAAAGTGTAAGGTTTTTCTCGCCCAATTGGTGAAGTAAAGTGGGGCTTGAGTTTGTGGCAAAAAGCAAGGTTCCAGGTACGAACAGTGGGAGGGCACATTTCTTCAACTTCAAAAGCAACATAAGCCACGTGGGGATCGTTGAGATAATTGGAGGGATTGTGAGAATAACTGGGCTGGAATTATAGCAAAAAAATAATACAACTTTTTAAATAATGAAGTCAATAAAATTAATTAATAAAATAATAGTGACGAATATATTTATTTTTAGTGATGATACTATCTCTCACAAAATTAATGATGGATACATTTCTGTCATACAGATTAGTAACATTGTATTTTGTGACAAATTTAGTGATAGAAATTTAAAAAATTAGTGATATATTTTATTATTATTTTTTTAGTAATGAAAGTAACACAAGGTGAAAAAATTTACTTTTTCCATGTTGGAAGTAATTGAATTCTATTATAGCTTTTCTTCATTTCCTAAACCAGACAACTTCTGCCACCATAAGAATTAGACATCAATCACATAATATTTGATTGAAGATGCATTTTGTTGGTAATAGGAATATGAGAAAAAGATGAAGATTGAAGTGAATGAGGTCTGAGGGAAAAAAAAAAAAAAATCGCTCCCTCTTTAGTCCTCGAGCGACAGCGTTCAATTTAAAACTTAATATTCACCAATATATTAAAAAATTATAATAAAAAACATGGGTGTTTTATTTTTTAGCCCAGATCTTACCAAGTGGTTTGATAATTCAAATCTAGTTTAACTTGAACAGTTTGATCAGTCTTTCTTTTATCGGACCAATTTTGGACCGGAATGGATTCTATCAGATTGGTCTAGGTTGTGTTAGACTATCTTTGCACAGCCCTGCTAATGAATAAAGCAGTGACCCTACGAAGATTTGGTACCGACAATGTAATCTAGTTGAGGATTAATTTAACACGTTCATTTAATAATTTGAGAAAAATACAACTTGCAATTTGGTTAAAAAATAAAAAGTTGGCCTACCTCTATAGGAGTAAATACTGCAATTTGCAATTCAATTGTTGCCACGTATAAGGAAAAAGAGTGGCTTATCAGTGAGAGTGTGATGGGACCTAATTTGAGTTTGGTTTAAAAAAGTTAGGCACAGGAGAAATTAAATGCCAACGAGATTTGGTGTCGAGTCAATTCAATGTAACCTCCATTCGAATCTCATTTAATTTTGAGTCAAATGGTAAATTTGTTTTGAAAGTTTTTCATTAACTGCAGCTGATATTCTAAACTTTCAATTGATGTAATATTACCTGAAAGTTTAAAACATAATACAATGTATTATTTTTATCTGCATGGTGTATATCAATAATTGTTCTTTTAAAAGTAAAATTATAACTGTCATGCTTTAAATAAAATTATAGTCTCATTGAAACTTCATATCAGTTTGGTCATTTTCATAAGAAAGAATGATAAAGATATTTTAATAATGAGAATGATAAAGATATTTTAATAATGATTAATTAATTTAACTTAGATCCTAAGTGTTAAACTCTAAAAATTTTATAACTCAATTTTTTAATTTTGTAACTGCATTGTGATGAATTTGCAATTTATTTTTTAAATTTTAACATGATTGAAGAATAAAAAAATTTATTTTTTCTGTTAAAATTTGAAATACAAGTTACAAATTCATCACAATGAAATTATAAAATTGAGAAATTGAGTTGCGAATTCTTAAAATTTAGCACTTGAGACTTAATTTAAATTAATTAATCTTTTTAGGACCTCTCTCCCTTTTCATAATTAGATTAATGATGAAATTAATATAATTAAGCATCAATAGGATGAGAATATTTTATTATTAAACAATCAATAAGAACGAGGCAATAACATCATGTATTTGGGCTCTTGCGAGTTGAAATTTGATATCATTCAAATACACATCTGAGTGAAATGTCCATGTGAATGTGAAAATTATTTATTGTAAAACTTGAAACGATTACATAATTTCGGAAAATGAGAATAACCAATATTCAGTTCTTCTTCTTCTTCTTCTTCGTTTTTTTTGCAATAAAAAAATTAAATTAAGGAATTAGCAGGCTGCTATAATATTCTCAGCAAAATAAGACAAATCTTGATGCAAAACTGGCTTGTCACTTACATTCATGCATTCAAGGAAGTAAAATTGTGTCGACCCAAAAAAAAAAATGAAGTAAAATTGTGTCCTAATTAGCTCCTTTAAAATTGGGAAAGGGAATAAATGGACGAAAAGCAATAGAAATACATCACATTTCATTTTAATTTAAAATATCTA